GGGCCGGCCAGGGCGGGAGGGAGAAAACAGAGAGGCGGCCTCCTGAGTCACCGCGTGGTGGTCCGGGGCGGGGCTGCTCAGGCCCTGAGACAAATTGCAGTCATTAGGGACTTTAAGAGGCTGGGGGAGGGGCTGGCCCTGCTCCCAGTTAGGATGGGTTCCCCAAACCCAGGGCTCCCCACCTCGGGCTTCCTGGAACCTTCCCTCATCTCACCGCTTTCTCTCCAGTTCTCTCTGGGTCCCTGTCTCCCTCTCTCTGGGTCTCCATGGCTTCCTGTGTCCCCGGGCACAGAGCCTCCCCGTCCCTGCCCGGGACCCTGCTCCCTCACCTCCCAGGACTGTGAGGACCACAAAGTGAGAAAGCATGGGAGACAGGCCTGGCCAGTCCCAGGTGCCTCCTGCACCTCTCTCTCTGCTGTGTCACCTTCCACTGCTTCTCCTGTCCATGTCCCCATCACCTGTCTTGCATCCACCATCTCATCTCCCTCTATCATCGCTGCTCTCATTCAGCACCTGTGTGTTTGGGGGGAGGGAGGCCCCTCTTTTCTCTCTCTTTGTGTCCCTTCCCATCCTGTCTGCACCTTCTTCCCTGTTCTCTCTGCTTCTCGCTCAGCGTTTCCACTCTGACCTCTCCACGCATCTCTCTCTGTGCCTCCCTCCCACCCTGTCTTGTCTCTTTCCATCTGCCTCCACTGTCCCCGTCCCTCTCAGCTCTGCCTCTCCCACTTCTCTCTGGGCCTGTATTTGTCTTAGCTCTTTTCCCTGTCTCTCCACCTTCAGGTACATTTCCAGCCTCTGTCCCTCCCTCTTGCAGCCCCTCCCAGCGCCTTCCTCAGAGCCCCTCCACCCTCACCCCATCCGCCCTTGCCCTGGGGTCCCCTCCCTGGATCCCTTCCAGATCCCAACACCTTTATGGGGCGGGCAGGTTCACAGTAACAATTGTGGCTGCTTTTCTGGCCAGAAAGGGAGGGAGGAGATGGTACCCAGGAGTCCTGGAATGGGAACTAAGCAATTAATAAAATGTTAGGAGAAGGGCGGGAGGGGGGAGGGGGGAGGGGGAGCTGGGCAGGGCCAACTGCCCAGACCAGGGATAAAAGGGATCTACAGAGTGACTGGGAGGTGAGACACCATCTCCACTTCCTCCTCCCAGGAAGACATCAAGGCCGGACGTGCTCCTTGGTCAGCATCCTCCCTCCAAGTCGCCAAGGACCCGGGATCCATGTCTCTAAGGGTCTCGGTCTCTGAGTGAGAGGCTCTCGCTGCATCTGGCCCTCGGCCTCTCGGCCTGACGCAGCCTCCTTCTCTCTCACTTTCTCTCTGTTTTTTTTTTTTTTTTTTTTTCCTTTTTTTTGCCAGAACCCAAACCCTGAGTCCCCAGAATGCTCCTCCTGCTGACCGCACTTCAGATCTGGGCTCTAGGTAAGATAAGCCGTGGTGTCCGGGGTAGGAGGTGCCCCGGAGACGCTGAGAAAGGAGGGGCAAAGGGTCCTGGGGGCCAGGATGCTCATGGGTGACCTGGTGAGGAGGAGAGGGGGGCTGTAGTTTGGAGATCAGGGCTGAGGGATGGGCTGGAGCAGGGCCTGAGAGCCGACTTGTGGTGACATCGCAGTTTTAGGGTAGAGTGTGCTCCCAAATGCTGGTGGGGGTGACGATGGGGTGGCAGGGATGTGGTGTAGAGAATGGAGTGTGTGTGGAGAGAGATCGTGGGACCCGGGGGGGGGGGGGCATGGAGTGGGGAGTTTGGGGATGGGACAGGGAGCTCATTGAATGTTTTAGGGGAGGACTGAGGGGTGTATTGAGATCAAAAGTGTCTGTGGGAGAATGCCGTTGAGGGCAGGAGACATAGCAAGGCCCTGGGTGAGATCCTGGGGAGGGGATCAGTAAGCTCCCTATTGCATTGGAGCAGACATGGAGGCCCTGTGGGCGGTGTAGGCCCTGGAGGCTGACTGAGGCGGTGTAGGCTGACCGAGGCAGTGGGTCAAGGGTTAAGCAAAGAAAGTGGGGAGGTTGGGTCCTGGAGATCCTCGACTGCTGGGCACTGGAGGGCATGTGCTCACCTGCTCTTCCCACCCAACCCCTGCCTGTTCCTAGCCGGGGCCCAGAGCCAAGAGGATGAGAACAAAATAATCGGTGGCTACTCCTGCATCCAGCACTCCCAGCCGTGGCAGGCAGCCCTGCTGGCCGGCCTCGCCCAACGCTTGCATTGCGGAGGGGTCCTGCTGTCAGAACACTGGGCCATCACCGCCGCCCACTGCTCCCGCCCGTGAGTGGCGCCCTCCCCTACGCTTATGCCAAGTGGCCTCCAGTTTGGAGGCCCAGAGCTCAGCAGAGAACCCTGGACCCCTGTGCAGAACCCAACGGAGCAGCTGGGTCCAGGTTTGGGGTCTAGACAAGAGCCTAAAACCACAGACACAGCTCCGCGTATGGAATCCAGCCACGCATCTTGAACTCGGTTTAGATTCTGAGAGCAGATGGAGAGTTTAGAACCCCCCATACGCCAGCTTGGAGGCCCCCCCCCCCGCAGAACCTAGAACCGACTGCGTAACCTCAAGATCCCTATGGAGGCCGGGGCCCACATAGAGACCAAGATTAGGAGCCCATTCTACGTGGGGGGTTGAATTTGGGGCACAATCTACCTTTAGGAACTCAGGGGTCCCCTCTCAGACAGAACACTGCCTAGATAGAATCCAGAGCCTGGTTCAGGACCTACAATCCAGCCATAAATTCGGACCCCTATTTAGATGTGGGACATACAGCTCAGAGAGTAGGGTAGAAGCAGGGCCGGGAGCCCATTCTAGACCCAATGTTTACTCCAGAGTCTACAGCTCCTCGTTGAGCAGCCTAGAACCCTGACCCCAACCCAGTGTCCAGATCCCAGAATTCAGACCGTAACCCGAAGCCCCACGCAGAACTCATCACCCCTCGAAGCTTCTGCACCTAAACCTAGAACCCAGGCCTCCAATGAGAGCTCTCCGTCCAACCGCCTACCAACCAGGTCCAATGCCATAAATGGAAGTTCCCTTTAGAACAGCGGTTCTCAACCCGTGGGTCGCGACCCCTTTGGGGGGTCGAACGACCCTTTCACAAGGGTCGCCTAAGACCATCGGAAAACACATATATAATGACATATTGTTTTTGTGATGAATCACTAGGCCTTCATTATGTTCAATTTGTCACAATGAAATTGGGGGTCACCACAACATGAGGAACTGGATTTGGGGGGGTCACCACAACCTTAGGAAGGTTGAGAACCACTGCTTTAGAACCTAGAGGGCAGAGCTCAGCCCAGCATGCAAACCAGCATCTAGACACGTGGGTCTGGGAGCTCATTCTAGAACCCAGAGCCCAACCGGAGGCCAAGGGCTCAGACCACAGTCTAGAACCAAGACCCCGGACAAACCAGTGATTCGACGCGAACAGCCCAGCCCAGAATCAAGACCTCAGACCGATGTTTAGAACCCTAAGCCCAACAGCAGCACAGAGCTCCAACCACTGTCCAAAGCCAGACCTGAAGCAAGAATCCAAAACTCAACCTAGAAACTAGAGCTCATATCAACGTCCAAAATTCACAGCTTGGGTATTTTTATTTTTAATTGATTTCAGAGAGGAAGGGAGAAGGAAAGAGAGAGATAGACACATCAGTGATGAGAGAGAATCATGGATCGGCTGCCTCGTGCATGCCTCCCTACTGGGGATCGAGCCCACAACCCAGGCATGTGCCCTTGACTGGAATTGAACCCAGGACCCCTCTATCCACTGAGCCAAACCAGCCAGGGCCACATCTCGGGTCTTAATCTATCAGTCCATACAGCATCCTCCCCCTCCCCCAAAACTGAAAGCTCAACTAAACCTCTAGAACCCAGAGTCAAGCCATGGTGCAGAGCTCAAAACAGACCCCTCAGCCTGCCCGGCCAGTATCTAGAAAGGGTGCCACCACCCACACTCCATCTAGAACCCCAGTCCCAGCTTAGATTCCACAATTCCAAAGGTCGGGAACCCAGAGGCCAGGCGAGAACCAGGAGGGAGGCTCCCTGGAGCCTATTCCAGAAGATCGATTCCGATTTAGAGCCTGGAGCCGTAGCCCCAAGTCTGGAGTAGAACACAGAGCAGAGAACCTGGCCCCGGCCAAGAACTCCCACCCATCGCCTTACCCCCCTACCCCCCCACCCCCAGCCAGAAGCCAGAGCACAGCTCCCTAGAGGAGGGGGCGGATGGGCCTGGGCGGAGAAAGGATACCCAGCAAGTGCCCAGCCCCCAGGCCGAGGGAGTGGGGCTGGCACGTGGGGCGGGGTCTCTGGGTCAGCTGGTG